CCGAATTGGCAACTCTGTTTACATTAGTATTAAGTAGTCTTTTTATGTTTCTAAAAATGGATAATTCAATAATTCAGTATAGCGTATCGCGACCCACACACAACATAGTGTAACAATGTTTTTTAGTTTTAAGCTTCTTTTTAAGGAAAATGAATTCTAAAAATATAAAATAAATAAAACCTTTAGTATAAATAGCTATCTATTCTAGAAAGAAAATACGTACAACGAAAAAGTTTTTTATGATCATTTAATTAAAAATTTTTTGAATTTTGACATTATGAAGCAACAAAATAATCAATTAACTACATCCGCTTATCAATTTAGAAAAAGAAAATTTTTGACCTTAATCTTAGTAACTATTGTTTTTTTTCTATTGACTTTATCTTATTTTACACCATCAACACCTTTTGCTCAAGAAACTGCCAGTAAACAACATTATTCTGTCATCACCAGAACAACTGAATTTGTTATTGAAAAGACTCAACAAGACGAAGAAAATGATTATCCAACGATCACTGTTTCTGCAGCAGATACAGCTACTACCACAGAACTGATGCCACCACCATCACCATCAGTAGAAGAAAGTACCGTCACTTTTCCAAATAATTGTACAAAAGATTTATCTAGAAATTCAAATATTTTCCCAAATCATTATAATTTGTTATTAATAATTTCTTCAAGGATTGAAGACTTTAATCAGAGAAAATTATTGAGGAAATTGTTATTCAACATAAATGATAATTTAATACCTTGTATGCATCAAGACAATAATGAACAACCCTTTCATAATATCTATTATCAATTCCTAGTAAAAAATATAAAAGGTAAAAAAACTAAAGATTATGATGGGGAGGTAAGAAGAAATTTTATAGCAGAAAAAATGGAATTTAATGATTTGACAGACATTACTAGTGATGATGGTGATGATTGGCAAACTTCAATGTTAAAATGGGTAAGTTATTATTTCACTGCTTCGCATTACCCGCGATCTCCAATTTAATTTCTAAATATGCAACCCACCAATAAAATAACTTTTTATTTATTTTATAGTCTCAAAATTTAAATGATGAATTATGTATATCGTATGACTTTCTAGCGATTCAAGATTCCTTAACTTTACCAAATTTAGTCAAACTTCAAAAGATCCTATATTCAAAAACGCATTTGATAGGAAACAACAAAATAAATAATAAACAGAATTTAATTTGGGGATCGTTTAGAACAAATTTAACTGACAATATGTTCACTGTTTTAGGTTCAAATGTTATTCCAAAGATTTTGAAAGATCCTTTAATCAAAGAATCCACAACTAATTACACAAATATTGTTTCAAGATTTGTTAGGAACAAAATAGAAAATAATAATAATAGTAACTTTATAAATATTAATAATAATGATATTATAATAGTTAATGACAATTCAACTATTATAGAATGGCCAAATTCAATCAACAGTATATCATCTAATATAGATGATGTGATTGCAATAGGTAATATTTATCAAGATTGGATTATGACAGATTTATCATCAGGTTTATCGATAGAACCGATAATACCATGCAAATCCAGAATGAATTTAAAAAAAAGCAGTACAATTTTAAATTATTACAAGAATGATGATTTAAACAAAAGTTCTAGACATTCAGTAGCTATAATAACAAGCAGCTACTTATATGCAGACAATTGTATGAATATTGCAGCTGCTTTATCTGCTGATAATAAACGTGTTTATGCTAACAAACATGGTTATGCATTTGTGGCTAGATCTACAGAATACTGGCAACAAACATTCCGTAGACGTCATAAAGTATGGGGAAAACTTGATTTCGTAGAAACTATATTACCATATTATGAATGGTTGGTTTGGTTGGATATGGATGCGATTATTGTTAATCGTACATTTTCTGTTGAACAATTCTTTGAAAGTATTAAAGAAAGAATGATTAAATCAAATGATACACGTGATTTTAATAATATAAATTTCATTGTGGCTAGACCATCTGGTGATGACATGATAAATGCCGGAGTGTTTTTTATTAGAAATACAAATTGGGGCTTTAGATTTTTAAGAGCAGTTCAAGGCAGAATTGATAGAGCCTACAGAGGAATGAAAGAACAACAAGCCTTAAGGGATGCAATAGCAAAACCTGAATGGGTAAACCAGGTAATAAACTATAATTTTTAATTTGTTGGTAGTAATTAATAAATTTTTTAAATAAAAAAATTTAATCAATGAATATTATTATTATTTCAGATTTACTATATTAATGAAGAAGATCATGTTATAAACACTTTTCCTGATCGTTATTTACCAGGCGATTATATTTTACATTATGCACCTGAAGAGGGTTGTCCTGCCATACCTGTTATGAATGGATTGCAAAAACTTGAAAAACTTGAAACAATTAAAGATTATAAGATTGAATTACCATTTTAATTTATCACCACCACATTTTAATCACTCTGTGTACTTATATTTCTCAAAAAATGTAATAAATACTCTAATAATCAATTTTACAAATTTAAATCCCTTACTTAGGATAGGGTAGAATAGATGATATGTGATTTTTAATTTTTTGATATAAATTTAGAAGAATTGATAATTTATTTTGCTAATAAATTTTTTACATTCACAATTGATTTTACTCATTTATCGAGCTGCACACATAATTGTATGAGGTGTTGATGTTGTGGGCTCAGGATCATTGATTGTTAATTATCATTGTCAGTTGTTCTTGGGAGAGAAGAACGAGTAAATGACGAGGAAAAGTCTCAATTTTTCATTTTCGTTTGTTTTCCTATTTTAATCATTGAATAGATTATTTTAAAAATAACGCTTTTGATCAGCAAAAATGTGTTCCCATTCACTTGTTACACTAGACCGGGAAAAGATCCGATATCAGTATGGCTAACTATGATTTCATTGAAGTCCTAATCGCTGCTGCCACCAGCTAAACATATCCTACCATCCTAATACAGGTAAGTTCGTTCCCTTATAAACGGATTTAGTCTCTATCCATTATAAGTGTTCCCGTGTAAAGAAATGCTCCTAATATTACAGACAAAAATTCACATCTTGATTTCCAATGTGTCAGACGGATTGATTTGTAGACTCTGACAGATATAAGTTTTGATATGCATTTTTTTTATGCGTAGTTAACTTCAAAGCCAAAAAATCAAGCCAACACAACTCATATGCTATGTAAAAGTTTGTTCTACACATCAATATTGAACTTTCCGAATGTTTCGAACTTGGGAACTAAAGGTAATTCGAGCGCGTTTTGATTTTTTTGTTTTATGGAATGTAGTTTTTTGTAATAAGTATTAGTAAGAAAAGAAATATTAGCAATATTTGTTATGATTTTAATGGTTTTAATGGTTTTAATTTGTAATTTGTTTCAACAATTTAATGAATATTATTGAAACTATGAATAAAATAAATTGAATACTTTTTCGACAGTGCCGATATAATGAATCCTAATATCATGCTATTATTACACTATTACATACTATGAGTCATTCCTTGTAAAACCAAAGAATTTACTTTTTGGGAAATTTCAGCTATGTTGAACTCTTAGAAAGATACTCTTGGTTTCTTTATTGTTTTAATGATTTTCTGTGACAAAATAAACCAAAGTCTTCCGGATGGTTATATTCCTACTATTACTATGTTAAAAATAATTATTTCCGCTCAAAATTTGCCTGTAATTCTGCTCGATTTTACAATTATTTATTCCAAAATCTTGTTATGGAATCGTCCAAAAAATCCTTAGTCGACTACTAGTTGGTCAAAAATTTCTTTAGTCGATTATTTCAGTCATTAGTCGACTAAATTTTTTTTATATAACAATAATAACAATAATAATATTTCGTTTTTTTTTTTAATTTGAAAATTACGAATTCATTTCCATTTGAATCTTACTTTTTCAAAACACTTCCACACAAAACCATGTGTTACGATTCGTTTTTTTAAAGGTCTTCTGGAACCACCGCTTAAATCATTGGAACTTGAAGTCAATGAACTATTGGACCTTATATTGGAAGTGTTTATTCATTCACATGTAAAATTATCATCAACAACACACTACTATTGTCGTCATCATCATATTGATACTCTTCCGCATAAAAATTTTCCATTTTGAATGATAAAACACAAAAATCGTAATTGGTAAATACAATAATAATATTAGCATAGTAATAGTATTAGTATCATTAATAATCGACTAATTAGTCGATAGATATGGGCAACCCATACATTGTGATCAAGTTTTATGGTATGATACCATACTAAATTTTTATATTAGAGGATATTTTATTTATTCTAGTATAAATTATACAATATGATTTTATTTCTATTGCTATGGTTCCACTACATAAGCATAAATTCTTGTATCAACTTGAAACTGCGCTTTAATTTGAATTTCCTTATCTCTCTCTGTATATAACAGTTTCAAAGGTATTAGTTAACGTTAACACTTTAATGTTATAAACACCCAACATAAAAAAAAATGTCCAAACCCCATGACTACAATATATAGAAAGAATTGATAATTGATTTTTTATTAATTTAAAATTATATTATCCAAAATAAATGGCCATTCAATCATTCAGTAATTCGTTTCTAATTCTTTTAAAGAGGCGTTCGGATGTATTAAACTTATTAGAGTGACCAGGGGTTTCAGCCACTCTTGCTCTAGTTACTTATGTTACAAATATAGAAAGAAACCAAATAAATTGTGGCTTTCTGATACAATGTAACACCAATTTATGATTTGTGTAGTATGAAAATGTATGAACAATATTGTTTCTGTAAAACATTAATTATTTTCTTTTTTTTTTTTCCTTCAAATATATATATTTTTTTTTTTTTAAAAAAACAAAAATTTATACCATAATTTCCTTCCATTCCTTTCCCACCATCTATTCCGTTCTTTTATTAAATTAAATTTTATAATTTACATTTATACCATTAATTATTTTTATTTAAAAATTATAAATAAAATGTGTTTTTCGGCAGCAAAGTGGAAGAGAGAACAAGTTCAAGATCATAAGTTTGATTTTGTTAATATAAAAGAATTTAAGGAAGAAAGTTGGTTACGTAAAATAAGGTATTCGTTTGTATTTCTGGTAGTAATAAAATCAGTACTTGTATACGTGGGTGATTTATGGACTGCTGGCATTTTATTATTTCTTGGTCATTGGGGGACATCAATACAGCCAGTCATTCCTATAGCAGTTTCAAAATGGATATTTCTTGGTAGCATCTTAGCTTCATTTCTGTTATTGATTTTGGATGGAGTAAAAGCAAAATCAATCTTGATTTCAAAAGACATTTCATATACTTTTACAAACACTGTAGCATATAGATATTATACTGTAAAAAGTTATTCATATTATTGTTTCTTTTCTCAAATTAATAACTCTCAGAAAATAACTGATAGAATAGCATTTTTTGTATTTTTCACATTTAAGGGTAACTAATTAACTAAACGTTGTATTTTGATATTTTAGAAAAAGCAAAGGTTTAATCAGTTAATTTATTTATTTATTTATAAACAGGGTGGAAACGCCTTTTATTTGCTGAAGCACCACGTCAAGTAATTAATGGATTTACACTATTTACAATTTTTAAATCAAACAAATCAAGAAAATATTTTGATTTGGATGCCTATGAATCAATATCTAACGTTCAAACTTTTGCTGTGTTTGTGATGATGTTCACAGTTTGTGCACTTATTATATCAGCCACTATGCTTATTTTTGCTTTTCTGTTATATATTCCATTATTATGTCATATCAGAGGAAATTTAAAAGAATTTTGTTGTCACAAAATTGACAAAAGGTACGTAATTTATATTATTATTATTACAAATAGTTAATATATATATGATAAATAGAAATGAATAAAAGACTCACCATTAAATAAACTGGCATTTATTCCCAAACCAAGTGCTCCTAAAAACCTGTTCCTGTAAATGGTCCCTTGCTATTACCACCACTTTTAGGCAACATGCCACTAAGTTTATGTATTGTTTGTCTTCCCTGTGAATAAGCCGTATTTATTATTATTATTACTATTATTACTATTAAATGAATTCTTAAAAAAAATTTAAATAGATTTTTTTTTATATGATTTAAATTTTAACTGATTAACTATTGATTTCATTGGTGGAAATTTATCATTGTTGTCGCGTTTAAAATCCAAAATTGGATTTGGATTCTATTACTATTTTTTTGCATCGGAAAATTCATTTGAGATACACAAACTCGTCATAACAATTATTATATCATATGATTAAAAATTTTTTTCTTCAAAAAATTTATTTATTTTTTTATTTATATATATATATATATCTAAACATTTTTTTTTAATGAATATTGTTAATTCTAACGATAATATTAATAATAACAACAATATTAGTAATGACAATAGTTTAGAAACTGAACCAATTCTTGTTAATGACAACGATACTCCTTTGGAAAATTTGAACACTAGTGATTTTTTTGATCAAGAGAAAAAGAATGGTAATGGAATTGGAATTATTGGAATGATGGATGAGTCTGAGCAAAAAAATTTGACTAATTCCTCGGAGCTGTTGATTGGAGAGGAAGAGAGTGTAGCGGCTGCGCTTGTTTTTGCTAATAAAGATTCCACTGATCGTAATAAAAGTATAAAAAAATTCGAAATTTCCAGTAATGACAACAACAGCAACGACAACGACAACAATGATAATAATAATAATACCAATGATAATGGACATTTTATAATAATTAATAATAATCGATGTACAAAAAACGACAATAATAACAACAATACCTTAAGACAACGTCATGTCACCTCATTAAATAATAACAATAGTGGCAGTAGTAATAATAATAATAATAATAATAATAATAATAATATTACTAACGTCAGCGATAATAATATTAATAGTACTAAAGCTACTATTATTACTACTAATACTAGTACTATTGATACCACTAATACTATTAATAACGGTTCAACAAAAACAACAGCAACATCACCTTTAATAAATAATCTAACAACAAATGAATTACCAACTTCCGGAGCCTCTGTCTCATCATCTGCAGGCGAAGGCAGCAGCCGGGGAGTTAGGAGAAATTCTCAAAGTAAGACCACTGATAATAACAATTCAAATAGCTCTTCAGAATATGAATGTAATATTTGGTAACTATATAAATAGAAATTATATATGTTTTTGATAATAATAATAAGTTTCAATAGATATTAATAATGATACATTTTTATAAAGCTTTGACACAGCTGGATCTCCTGTTCTTACAGTTTGTGGACATTTATTTTGGTTTGTTGATTTAGGTTATATTTATACATTTATACATTTATACATTATAAATTATAAATTATAAATTATTTACTTATTTAATTTAAAATTAAAAAAAGTTGGCCTTGTCTACATCAAGTAAGCAAGAATTATATGTCTATGTTAAAGTTATTATTGTCGTAATATATAAAATATAGTTAAATAATTTTTCATATTATTATTATTATTTTTAAAAGTGGTTGGAAGCACAGTCATTAAATCCTTTATGCCCAGTTTGTAAGGCAGGGTGTGGACAAGACAAAGTGATACCTGTATATGGACGTGGAAAAGAAGCAAAGGATCCTAGGTACTTGATAACTAATTATTTAACGAGTTAATTAATATATTTATATTTATATACTATGAAATATTATTTACACGCATACACACACACGCACGCACATATATAGAAAGAACTCAGATATTCCTAATCGACCAGCTGGCCAAAGACCTCGGCCACAAAGAGATCCAAATCTACCTAGTACACAGTTTTTCCCTGGATTAAACATTCATTCAACAACTCTAATGCCACACTTCTCTATTTCTGTCAGTACAATTTTTCCTACAGTTTTTAGCCCACAAATAGTAAGTTTTTCTAATATCTCTTGATTTTTTTATATTGTATATAAATATAAAAAATTTCTATTAATTAATTATAATTAGACATTTCCGCCTGCTAATGGTCCTCCTTCGGAACAACAAGCATTCTTATCAAGAATTCTTTTTATGCTTGGAGTTCTCATACTAATATGTTTTTATTTCAATTAAGTTTAACAAATTATTTATTTTTTATTAGAAAAAAAATTATACTCATTATTATTAAATATTATTTAATTAGGAATTTTTTCTTCGAATTATTTTTCTAAAAACTAATTAGTCATTTTTGTTCATTCATTCATTCATTCATTCATTCATTCAGTACTTTTTTCTCTCCTTTAAAAAATAAATATAAAAACATATTATTATTTCTAAATAATTTATTAAAAACAAACAAGGGACAATATATTAAATAAATTACTTTTAAATAAATACATAGTATTCACAATTAGTAATTTAATAAGTAATTCAATAAATGAAAGACATTAATCCATTCTTCAAATTTAAATACGTTAATTAATTGATTAATTTATTATCTACGTTTATAAAACCTTCTCCATTTCGAATCAATTTTTTCTAAATAATAAGTTCCTTCAAACATAGTTTCGTCTATCGAACTATTGTCTCCATTAGGTTCAAAATCCTTTTCACCGTGTGTTTCTTCTCTTGAATTCATCACTTTAGCGAATTTCTCAGGTTGAACTATCAATCTCGAGTCTAATCTATTTTTTATATTCAATTTTTCACTAATATCCTTGACAGACTTCCTAATTTGAAATGAGAAAAATGATGATGATAGACCAGATCCATATGAAAACATTGCAACACGCTTACCAATCTAAATTATTGTTTTTTAATTTTAAAAAAAAATTTAATTTAATAACTTCAAATATTGAAAAACATCAATATAGATATTAATCGTTTACCAAATCTTTTACATCTTCACTTGATAATAAAGATACAAGAGTTCCATACAAAGATGCACAATACATGTTTCCAATTTGAGTAGCAAGCAAAAGAGTCGGTAGTACCCTACTTTGATAAAATGAATTACTAATTCCAACAAGAGCCTTTTCAAGTTCTTTTGATCTTAATGATTCTTCATAATCGATATTTTGGAATTGAAGAACAGATTCAAAACCTTCGAGCGTTGGGTTTCTTTTAAAATCATTATAAAATAATCTTGCATAACTTTTTTGTACCAATTTACAATATGGTGAATGGAAAAGAGCGTAATCAAAAAATTTTATTGTAGGATCTTCAACTTTCTCCTATAAAATAATATAATTATTAAATGTAAATGCAAATGTGTGGATTAGTCGAATTAATACTATTATATAAAATTTTTTAATAAATCGTAAATCTTAAATCATGAATCAATAATCACCTTTTGAACCAATTTGTCAATATATCTGTTATAACAAATATCAAGAGCCTTAAGATAACATGAATTACTTAAATGACCATCTACTACTGGAAATTCCGATGTCAAATCTGGTTTATCTAAAAAAAAAAATAAATAAATATTAATAAATAATGAATAAATGATTACATAAATAATAAATTATATAATAAATAATAATAATTAATTACAAAAATCCCAAACATGTTCCATATGAGTTGAACGTAACCCTACATTTTACATTTGTACAAAACAAAATTATAAACGTAATCATTACAAAATCGCCCACCCCAAAAAACCATAGCATTGAGTTTACCTCTGTCAAAAACAATTGGAGCATCTTTACCGATAAGCATAGCAACACATCCTGCACCACCAGTAGGACGTGCAGGACCAGATGCGTAAACAGCAATATCACCAGCGACTACAAGAGCATATCGTCCATCCCAAGATGATGACTCTACCCAATCCAATGAATTGAAAAGTGCCGATGTACCTATAATTGAGATTTATAATATGAAGGAATATTTATATATTTTTTTTTTTTTCCTTCCCAATAAATTATATGTATTTATGTAGATTTTTAAAATTTTAAATCTTTTTTACCTCCATAACAAGCATTTTTAGTATCGATACCTTCAACATCAGTATTACCCGAATCAACAAAAAGCTGCATCAGCACGCTTTTTACAGATTTTGATTTATCAACTTAACACACGTAAAATATATATATGTAAAAATATAAATGTTTATATAAGTAAATTGTAAAATGTGTAATACAAATCATCTTTATAGTAGCATATACAACAACAACAATTACTACACTACCACTAACAACAATAATAATATGATATATTTAATACTTACTGATTGTCTCTGTACCAACTTCAACGCGACCAATATCTTTATAAGAAATCTTGTATTTTTCAATTAAATTTTGGACAGCTAGAAAGCAATAACGATAAAGAGGAAAATGAGAAATCATTCAAGGTGATCCTCACTCAATTAAAATCAATTATTATTTGGTTCATTTACCAGTTAATGCAATCGAATTAATATCTAAAAAATATAATATATATATATATATATATTAATTGTAATTTAAGACAATGCGTCTTTTTTTTCTATTTAGCCAATAATTAATAATTACCTTCTCTGTCATCACAAAATCCCATTTTAGTTTGGCCTAAGCCAATTGTATATTTACCAGTCGATACTTTATCAAATTTCTCTAGTTCTGCTTGTTCAATACACTTGAAATCAAAAAAAAACATAAAAAAATACTCAATATTGTTACTCTAAAAAATTTGGTTTTTTTCTAGAATTAACTTACTCTCTTTGGAAAATATATCTCGATAGCTACTATTCCAACATTTTCAGGATAAGTCATTTTTTATTTTCTTTGAATTTTTTAAAATTTAATTTTAAGTGTAATATTTTTTTACATTATCGATTTATCAATCTTAAATAATTAAAAAATTAAAATTCGTGTGACGTTTACATTTTTGAACAATGATTAAAATCATACATGGCAGAAATAGGTTTAGATCACGGTTCCAACATTTCGATTCCAATAAGTCCAAAAATTGAACGATTTTTTTAACATTAATATTGTATGTGAAATTGAAATATTATAGAGTGGGGTGAAATTCTGATTGGCTAATTTGAATTTCACGTATGTGAATTGCGAATTCACATTAATACTAGCACTAATACTAGTACTAATACTAATACTAATACTAATACTAATACTAATACTAATTTCGATTTTTTTAATTTCGAATTTCGACTCTATTTTAATTTCGAATTTCGACGACTCTCTTTTAATATTTCGATTTCGATTTCACATTTCGAAAACTTGCGATTTTTCGAATTTCGAATTTTATTAAATGACTTTCACCATGTATGAAATTAATAATTTGGTTCTAATAATCATAATTTAACCAAACTTGGATAAAAATTATTATTATCTTTTTGATATTAATACCGGAAAAAACTTTATCCACTCGAGAATAAGGTTTAATATTATCTTTATTATATTAATATCATCTATTGAATAAAAAATTATTGGTGAAAAGATTCGTGGAAAAGGATTTTTGCTGATTCTATTTTTATTTTTAATTTTAGGTTAACTTTCATGTGAAATATTTTAAAAAATTCGACTGCGCCTTGCTATATTATCTGCAGTTAATTTTCAGATTTGGTTAGCCCGCATCAAATTTCATTAAAAAGAAATTTTTTTCATATTAACCATATTAATATTAAGATAACACGATTAAGAGCAGTTTTTTTTTTATGAACTTTTTCGGCGATATCGCGATGCGTCTACTTTAAAGAATATTTATTTCCTTATTTCTGTAAATAATTTTTAATATGAGCAAGTTTTTGGGAAGAGAAGGTGACGGACGACCTTTTCTATTCATTACTTGAGCTTGCTCGCAATGAATGAATATATTCGAATATCTGGGCTATTGACATAGGAACTGTAGCGGCAAGTCCGTGGTAACGCGACTGTTCGTTATTAAGTACGCTTGGTCCCCTCCGCCGTTATAGTTAGTGAGTGAATGGGAGTCGTTTGGATAATTCTACTTAGGCCTGACACAGTAAACTTCGACTATGTAAAACATAAGACATCAGATACAATCAGGCAGGTAATGTGTAGTATAGGTTATGATGGTTATATTATATATACCACTGCCATCACCAACAAACTCGCCCGCACCATCAAAAACCATATAATTGTAATCAAATGTCCTGAGGTTTTCATTTTTGCATAGTCGAAATAATCCTTTTAATAAACGATTTATAAATTAATAGTCGAACGATTTGTCACATTAAACGATTGGGAAGTGTATTTTCCGAAATTTTTTGGTGATCAACGTCGAAATTCT